CTGAGACAAGTCATCCTGTATAGAGCCGAACATCATTACTGAAAATATGCCTCGGGCACAACTGGGAGAGAGCGGCAGATTTAGGGAGAGGGGGGCAGTGTAGAGAGAGGAGGGCAGGATGAGTGGAGAGAGGGGCAGGAAGGAGAGTGAGGGGGCAGGATAGAGAGAGAGAGAGAGAGAGAGAGAAAAGAGAGGGGGCAGAAAGGAGAAAAGGGGGGGCAGGATGGGGAGAGAGAGAGAGAGAGAGAGAGGGGAAGGGTAGGATGGAGTGAGAGAGAGGGGCTGATAGAAGTGCAGTGACAGAGCTGTGCGTTGGGTCAGTGCAGGAATATTAGAGAGGGCTGCAATGTAGGATAAGGGAAAAGGGGATCTGTCCTCGATACTAGAATTTCACGGGGGTGGGTCTCTGCCAATGATAAAGATGCCAATAAGTGGGCACTGGGTGCAGTTCGCTAACTGTGGTAGATATGCCAGGCAGTGAGTGGGCACTGGGTAGATATGCAAGGCAGTGAGTGGGCACTGGGTGCAGTATGCTAACTGTGGTAGATATGCCAGGCAGTGAGTGGGCACTGGGTGCAGTACACTGACTGTGGTAGATATGCCAACCAATGGGCACAGGAATGCACTCCACGTGCCCCAGCATTATTCCCCTACCCAGCAGAATGCATGGCACAGGTCATACAATAACAGATAATGAATTGGGACTGCAATGCCAAAGCTGGCAGAAGAAGCAGTATGTGAGCAGCGCAGATCAGAGCGTATAATCCCTGGATGAGTGGCATCTGTCTGCACCCGATTAACCTGCCCCCATCCCCCTCCCAGATCTAGATTCATATTAATTATACCCCTCCCCCCCACACACAGCTTATCATTAATAGCAAGCTTTTTAATTTGGCAAAAAGGTGCCCTTCTCGCACAACACCCAGCAACCATAAACACTGCATGCTCTAACTACACCCTATATGGGGAGGGAGGTCTCAGTATAGTGTATATGGGGGTATCAGTAAAGTGTATATGGGGGGGGGGTCTCAGTATAGTGC